CGACACAAACAACACCAGTAACAGCAGCACCAGCAACTAACAAGAACAACAACAACGGCAACAACGGTAGCGGCGGCAGCAACGGCAGTAGCATCATCATCATCATACGGCTACTGCCAACAATAGCACCGACGTCGAGCACCAGCTACATCATCCTCAGTCCCGATATCCTATTCGGCACTTTGCTTCTTATTCCAAGTTAACAAGCTGGTCAAGAAAAATCATTACTTTTTTTTCGCTTTTTACTTTTACTTTTGGAATACAGCTTCCAAAATTATTCATTTTTCCTTCAACTGGCATCTCTTATTCGTCAAATCGACATAGTCAAGCCAAACCCAAACTTTATGGTTTGCAGTACAGACGTGCTTAACTAGTAGAGGACAATAAAAATGAGATAAAAAATCTGGGAAATAAGGAGAAAAGAGATGAACTTTTCTAAGTGAAAAAATGCTGTATGGACGGTCATTGTCGGTAGAATTCTGAAGTTGAGAAGAGAAATGGAAATGGAAGAAGGAAAATTTTGATTGTCAGTAGAAATAGGGCTTTTTTTTGAATTTTTTTGTTTTGATTTCATTTTATTTTATTCAACTTTTTGTTTCTTTCCTTCGCTGTCGGCCATTTTAAGCTCAAAACACTTTACAAAACTGACAACGACGCACAGCAATTGAGTGCGTTGCACCCCCAGCGTTATTCAGCTTCGTAATCGTCCGTTTGGGACCGTTGCTGCTGAACCTCTCCTCTAACTGTCGTCTACCTGACACAGATTACCTTTACATTATTCTTGTTATCAGCATTGTTTTGTCATTATTTGCTTCAGCAGCCGTAAATTCTTAACGTCGAAGTGTTGCTTCAGAGCACTCACTGGAACTTCGTCAGGTTATCATTTCTAGTACTTTTTTTGCCTTCGTTTTTTGTGTTTTAGCTCACTTTTTGGGAAGTTTTCTGCAGTTTATCTGAGTTTTTTTTTTTTTGAAATTGAGGATCAAGCGACATCTCTTGATCCTAGTAGATTTTTTTTTGCATTGTGGACAACTTGGAGTACTAAACGTCAGGAAAAGGTGGTGAACATTGTTTTTTAGTTTAGATATCTGAGAAGGATTGCTTCTGTAGAAAGGGCAGTTTTCGTGAGGTAGTGGAGGTGAAATGAAAAATTTTTGGTTGTTATGCAACGCAGGAATTGTTTACGGATGGTAGCGTACAAGTTGAAGTGCTGTCTTTCTTTCTTTAGGATTTTAAGCTTAAAAAATGGTTTGAAAAGATTTTTTTTGATATTTATATATTTATTTGGAGAAGAAAATATTTTTTTATTATGAGTCTAAATTTTCTTACCTAGTCGAGTAAATTTTCTTCATGCTTGGATCATATGGTGCAAACGTGAAACAGGAGCGTAGTTGGCTCTGCTATCACTCTTTACAGTTAAAAAGCTTTATGCATTTTTTTCTATTCATTTTTGTGTGTTTTATTTCTAGAGGGAGAGAGCGAGAAAATAAGTTGGAGTAAGAGAGGAAGAAAGGGATCAAGAGATTGCAAAACGAAGAGGAGGGGGAGGAGGTGAACCGACGGGACTAGATGAAACAGACGAGAAGAGTAAAAACAAAAGGATGGAATTAAGTTAACAGATATAACTTACCGCATGCCTGCTAAATCGAGGTTAAAGAGAGAATTAGCAATCTTATGCTGACCTGAAATACTGTCATTTAAGATGCATCTTCGGTTCTTAAGTTCATCTTTATTTTTTCTTTATTTTTTTGTTTTTTTTGCGGTGGCACAACGGGATTTTTAATTAATATGCGCAGGACCTGTAAAAATTTATGTATAAGTGTCGCCAAATGAAGCAGGCTGTTTTGAGTGGCGTTTTTTTGTTTCCGTGGTTTAGGGTAAATTGGTTGTCATGCTTTTTTTTTTCAGCGCGCTGTAACATAGGGTTTTTCTCAGATTAAATACGAATTTTGTAGCCAGAAACAGAGGTGACGGCTGAAGAATAGTAGCGTTTACCCTGTTTTGGTTAGTTACTTATTTAGTTTTTCCATAATAACGAAATTACATTTTAATTCCAAGTTTAACTGCAACTCTGCTGTCACCACTGCCTTAACATCGTTTTCCTCACGTTAAAAACGCGTATAGAAAATGATGGCGCAGAATTCTCCTCATAAAATTTTGCTTAATTGTTCAGTGGATCAAGAAATTGTGCTAGTAATTGAGTGCGTCGCATTTGGTGACATGGAAAAAGATGTTTTTCAGAGAAGAGTTATTGTTTGCTGATATAGTTGTCTGAATGTTAGGAATTAGAGGTGCTTCCGCTTCTAGGAAGTTTTCACTTTTATTTTTTTTTTTAGCTCTTGAAAAAAGCTCCCAGCCAACGTTATTATTGCTTTCTCAGGAGAAATTTGATGTAATTTTTATTATAAAAATTGTATTTTATATGGACTTTGAAGCGTTTCTGCTAATAATATCAGGACATTCAAGTATGGCACGTCGCTGTGGTTTCCTTCAGTTACCTCTGTAGCATTTCCAACGTTCCAGAAGTTTTAATCTCGTTTCCAAATTAAGTTTAGTTTAGGAGCCATTGTCGTGGTGAAAGCAAGTTAGTGGTTTTCAGTTTTTGAAAAGAACTGCCAATTCATTCTGTTATCGACAAAACGGCTGGGTGGATTTCTCTCGTTTTTTAGTTCTTTTTAAAATAGAGAAAAGAAAAAGTGGATATGACTGGCTGTTTTATAGCGTATGTTCGGAAAAGTCGTTGTGGTTTCTTGAATTCGTCGGTCACTGGACGGTGCTGTATGTTTTAGAGATTCTTTTTATATCAAGCTTGTTACAAGAATATTTTCAGTTTGATTGATTATATTAAGTGAATTGTAATACTTGTCAGGCTTATCAGAATAGTATAGCAGTAGTAATTTTAAGGCGTAATTTTAAGGCACCAGCAATACATTTTTTGGGGTGTTAGATTTACTGTTTTGTTATTTCATCGAGGTTTGGAAATTGCCACAGTCGTTTTTGCTTCTTGATTTAATCGTTTTAGGGTCAAACGTCAGTTACATCATTTTATGAACTTGAGAGTGAACGAGGTTTTCAAATTGATTTTATTTAATGTTGTGAAACTTGACAACTAGTTTCAAGAATGTGGTATGGAAATAGTTTTTTAAAGTTTTAAATTTTTGTATTGCGAAGCGTGTAGTCGGGAGCAATGAAGTTTAAGATCAATTATAAACGTATATTTACTGAATGTTTTGCGTACTTTTCATCAGAGTTTTCTGACTGAATAAACGACAAACTTTTTTTTCTTGAGTTGTGCACTTTACAACACCGCTTAAAGATTCTCTGTTTGAAGAGGAGGGAGTGGCGTGGCTTAAAAAAGCCGTATGAATATTGTCTAAAGGGAATGGGGCGAAATGGTAGTTATCACAGTTTTTATTATTTTTTGGTTCTTGGGGTGAGTCTACTACTGGTAAAATTTGCTCTGATCACTTATTGTTTAGTGCATTGCCTTCAGAGATTCTCTGATTTTTTCGCCAGTTTTATTTTGCTGCGTATTTGTTTGCAACATTTCGTGAAACTGCTGCTACGCTAAAGTGACTCGACAGTTGGCACAATTTCAAAGGAAAGTCAGTGTGAGTGGTAGAGTGACGAATTATATAGTTTGTTCAGTTATTTAATTTAGTTAGAAATTTGTTGTCTTTATGTGCTTGTGGTGTGGCTTCACCAGAGTGTGTGCTGTGGGAGAAGGTAAAAAAGTTCATTTGTTGCTAGAATTATTTTCTTAAAAAATTTGCATCAATTAGCCGAAATCTTTACTACTCGGTACTTTTTTGTTTTTTAGTTTTAGGAAAAAATTCCCTTTTTATTGATCATTAATTTCTTGTACGTCTAGCTAATCCGTGAACATCGGGCATATTCAGTTCTGATTTATCACTGTTACACTATTCTCACTGTTACCGAATCATAGAAGGACAAAAGTCTTTTTTGGTTTACTTTTTCAAGTAGAAATTATTTGTAGTTAAAGGTGGTTTGAAAGCTTTTCGTTGTTCGAAATGTTGGTTTATGTTGTTTTGAGAATGATGAAATACCACAGTCATGGACGTTTTTGGGCAAAAGTTAAATTTTTGATTTTAGTGGTATTGTCGCGCGTTTTTTTACATGTCGGCTTCTCTCCAAATGGTTTTTTAAGTTTATGATTTTTTTTTGGAACACAAACTTGATGTTTATTGATAGTTAATGTTACGATTTTGCGGTTTGCGTCATCTGGTTGTCTTTGTTCCTCAGCACTGTTTAACTGACCTGGTATTCTGGATTCCTGATTGATTTTTGCTTCATTTCGACGTGCTTTTTTTCTTTTGCTGGTTGACAATAAAATTTCAGATGTCTTAATTTACAGTTTGGGGATCTTTTATTTGTGTTGTACAGTTCTACGTTGTTTTTTTGAAATTTTAATTATTTGAAAAAGAAGACAAAGAGTTATATTCCCGGCGAAAAATAAAATTTTTCACTTACAGCTGCTGGTAAACAGTAAATCATCTTGGGTAGTGTTGTTTTTTTGGTTGAAGCGCGGAAACTACCTTTACTTGGTATATAAGTAAGTTGGCTAATCACTTTTTTTATTAGGTCTCGTTGGCCTCATCACCTTTCGCGTTTTATCTATTTGTGCACTGAACAATGAAAGAAGACGTGTAGAGAGCTTTGGGCGTATTGAAATTGGGTGATTTGAGCAGGTGCTGCCACCCGCCTCTTATCCTTTTCGGTTTGGTTTTTCATCCAAAGGAGTAGATGAAGTGAAACATTGATATCATTGTGCACCAGTGAAAGTTTTGACAAACGATTTTTCACTTGCTTTATTCTTTATGATAGCTACAGCGAATTAATTTTTTTAAAAGAACAGATAAGATCAACAAGTCGTGTAAAAAACTTTATAGTATTATTCTTCACTGTGGCGTTATTTTTGAAATATTCAGCCATATCTCCAAATTCAGTACGATAAGTTTTACTCTGCAGCTCTGTTGTCGATGTCGAATCCCGTAATAGCTACTGAAGGACCATCATCAACACAACCATCCAGGAAGCGTGGATCACCGAATACTGGTTAGTTCCTTTCTCGCTTATTTTCTGTCTGAGTTTGTTCAGGCATTTTTTTTT